GTCTGGCTGGGTGACCTGGGGGAAGTTACAGTAGCCTGGGCTTGTTTCATCTTTGCTGGAATGGGGACAGATGACACGGTCCACCCGGTGCGCGTGAGGACTGGAGAGAGTGCACACAGCTCTCAGCAAGTGTGGTGTCCTTTCCTTTCCCTGTCCTCTCGCTCCCTGGCGTCATTTACCTGTTGAGATGAAGATTCTTGATCATATGGGTCAGAAATACTGCAGTCCTTCTCCCCAAGGTCTCCCGAGGAGATCCTTGCATGGCAAAAGCACGAAACCAACAGAAGCAATGTGGCGATGTGCAATTAATTGAGATTTTTGCCCCAGATCTTAAAGTAGGGCTCGTGAAGCCCTCCCTAGGGGGTTGCGTTCTTCTGTACTGCACAGATTTAAGGAAATGCAAGCCCTAACTCTGTAAGGCTTCTATGAAGTCGACATAGATGGCAGCCTAGATAGGACCACAATAGCCAAGGCTGCAGCTCATGTCATCCTTCTGCACTCCAGACTGGGGACCCTGAACCCCACAACCTCCACGGGCAGGTGAGGGATATAGGAAAGAGAAGGGTGGTAGGCGTGGCCTGAACCCCTGGGAAGCTCCACCTACTGGAATCAGGCCAATCAGTGCCTTGGGATCTAACCAGCCACATCCCCTCTCCTCTTCCTTAGAGAGTGAGAACCACTGAGGGAAGTGCAGAGCGCCCCCTGCAGGCCAATACCAATCATGAACGGGGTTTCTCTTGCAGGTGGGTTCGCTACACTACTCATTGTCTAACTTCGAGTCGAATGCTCAAGGGACACAGTGGAAGTGTTCTGTGCACAGGGCAGGAGGACCTCTTTCTAGGAAGCCGATGTATTACACTTTCGTCTCCCAGGCTTGGAGGCAAGACCGACTAAGCTGCTACACAGGCCCTTCTGTTGTGCCGTGTGCAAGCCTGCTGTTGTTGTAGGGTAGTGCCTCTGTCCCTGTGCAGGACAGGTGGCTGCTGGGGCCTTTCTGCATACCAAGACCTCTGCAGCTTCCTGCTGCCCAGAGCAGAGCAGAGCAGAGCAGAGCAGACCCTGGCCATGCCGACCTAGGGCCAGCGTCCATACTTCATCTGTCTGACCACAGGGCATTGGGATGGCAGGAGTGAACCTTTGTAGCTTATTTTGCTGCAAGGGAACTAAAGCCTTCAGTGACTGGGGATTCCTTTAGACCTGTTCAGCTATGCTTGTGCTGCAATGAAATTCTCTCTCTCTCTTTCTCTCTCTCTCTCTTTACTTAAAATAAGAATCACCACAGTCAATAGAGATCATTCTCATTACCAAAGAGTTCTCACATGCTTTCTCCTTTTTTGTTAATCCCCTTCCACTCTGACCCCTTTTATAACCACTGCTTAGTTTTACCTTTTCCAGAATTCCCTATGAATGAACACTAGAGTAGGTAGTCCTTGTGTTTAATGTCTTTCTCTTAGCAGAATGCTTTGAGATGCATGAATGCTATGTGTGTGTGAGTAGTTCATTTCTCCTCATTGCCAAGACACCCTGCATTGTGTAGTTGTACCACACTTTGTTTTTTTATTAACATCTTGAAGGATTTCTGTTGGTTCCTTTTTTTTTTTTTTTTTTTTTTTTTTTGCTGTTACACTTGGCGCCCTGTATCTGCAGTTTGCCTTCCACAACTCAGCCAAACTATGTATCACAAATACTCAAGGGGCAGGCGTCTGGCCTAGCACTCACAATACCAGTTAGGATACCCACATCCCACATCGGAGTGCCTGGGTTTCATGGCCGGCTCTGGCTCCTGACTCCAGCTTCCTGCTGGTGTAGACCCAGGCAGGGCAGCAGGGGTGGCTCAAGTACGTGGGTTCCTGCCACCATGTGGGAGCCCTGCATTGAGTTCCTGGCTCTTGGCTTCAGCTCTTGACTACTGTGGGCATTCGAGGAGTAAACCAGCAGATGGATCTCCCTCTCTCCCTCCCTCTCCCTCTCTCCCCTGCTTCTCAAATATGTTTTTAAAATAGAAAAAAATTGAAAGAAATTCAGTCTGTACTGATTATGTACAGACTTTTTACTTGTCATAATTTCCTCCACACAGTAGAACAACTATATACATAGTATTGGGCATTGTAAGTAATCTAGGGGCCAGTGCTGTGGCGTAGTAGGCTAAGCTTCCGCCTATGGTGCTGGCATCCCATATGGGTGCCAGATCATGTCCCTCTTCTAATCCAGCTCCCTGCTTATGGCCTGGGAAAGCAGTGGACAAAGTTCTTGGGCCCCTGCACCCACATGGGAGACCCAGAAGAAGCTCCTGGTTCCTGGCTTCAGATCGGTTCAGCTCCAGCCGTTGCAGCCAATTGGGTAGTGAACCAGTGGATGGAAGACCTCTCTCTCTGTCTCTCCTTCTCTCTGTCTGTAACTCTGCCTCTCAGATAAATCTTTTTTTTTTTAAAAAAAAAGTAATCTAAAGATGATTTATAGTATAATCAGAGGATGTGTGTTGCTTATATGCAAATACTGTACTATTTTATATATGGAACTGGAGCAGTCTTGGATTCTGGTATTTGGAAGGGGCCTGGGATCGATACCCTGAGCTACGAGGTGATGCCTGTGTATGTGCAGTGGCTGTAGATCTTCCTGTGCAGGGTTTTGTGTATTTCATCTCGCCGAGCAGGACTTGTGGATCATCCCCAGGCAAGGATTGTTGATAAGAAACTGCCCACTGCTTCCCACCATGGCTCCGCCAGCCCACAGCCCCTCTCCACATCGTACGAAAATCCAGCGGTGCTCCCTCCTCACTAGCACTTGGTATCATCTGTGTCAGTATTCTAAAATTTTAGTAATTGTAGTAGGCGGAAGGCTTATTGTTAAATTCTGAAATGCACAGTTTCCTTAGGAGAAACGTTTGGCACTTTAATAGCACATAGTCAACTTCCCGTGTCTGTCTGTCTGCTTGCTTGCTCGTTTTCCGTCTCTGTTGGTAGAACATAAGTTTGCAGATGGCACCCGCCTCAGTAAATACCTCTGAATGAGTGAAGAAGGGAGGAAGACATGTGGAGCCCCCTGCAAAGCCTGGGCTGTCGCTTCAGCCCTGGGTCGGAACGGAGGACCGTGCTACCCACTTCTCCAAGGCAGCATGTCGCAGACGAAACGCCTTCCCAGCCGGGCTGGGAAGGGGAAGGAGGAATGGTGTAGTTAGAACGGTGCAAAATGAGCATTTCTGTACCAAGGAGGGGCATGCAAAAGCAGAGAGTGGCATGTCTGGGGACATGAACCAGTTCTGGGTGCTGAGGACGCTGTGGGTGTCCAGGGGCAGAGCTGGGATCGCTCTGGGGACAGGGGCATCAATAATGTGAAACTTGACATTTTCCGGGTGCCAGAAGCTTCTAAGACCTTTACGTGAGTGGGTCTGTTTCTCTTTCCCCAGTCTTGCACTGTTAGCCTTAGCACCAGCATCATCTCTGGTTAGCAGACAAGGAACACCAAGCAGACAGAAGTGAATGACTTGCCCCAAGTGAGACAGTGAAGAACACAGTTCAGTTTCTGCCCCAAAGGCTGTTCCTGAAACCAGTGCATTACTACTGCCAGGTTACCAAGGGGGTTCTTACGCATTAGGGAACCGAGCAAGCTGCTGTTGGGAGTAACCTTCAAAACACAGCAACTTCAATGAGACAGGAGGTAGGTTTCCCTCTGAGGCCAAAGTCCAAAGCTGACTCCATGGCTTTGTCCCTTCCACACATAGCTTTGAGTCTGAGTCCGAGGTGATCGCTTTTAATTCTCACCTTCTTCAAGCCAGGGGGACATGAGGGAGGGGACAGAGAGACAGAGAGGTCTTCCATCCGCATCCCACATGGCAGCAACAGCCAGGGCTAGACCAGGCTAAAGCCAGGAGCCAGGAGCTCCATCCGGGCCTCCCATGCATACGCCTTTGGAAGAGAAGTCCCCCAAAGCACACACACATCCCTTTGGTCAGAACCCAGGAATGTAAGCACACCAAGGAGCAAGGGAGGCCGGGAAATGTGGTCTCTAATCGGTACCCACAACCTCTGATAAAACCCAAGCGTTCTGTTTAAAGAGAAGAATGGTGTTGGGGTGGAGGTGGGCGGACCCATGTTACAAGAACAGGCTGCCCAAGGTGGCAGGTGCAGAGAGCCTGAAGGCAGAGAGCAGGTGCACAGGAACTTAGGCGGCCACGAGACGTGCAGGTCTCCACACCTGGAGCAGGAAGGGAAGGGTTTCCTAGAAGAAGGTGACCCACAGGTAACCTGAGAACAGCTTAGGCTAACCTTCCAGTGAGAGATGAGGGGCGTTCCAGGGTGCAGAGGGGCCAAGGCAGGCCTGTAGGTGTTCTTCCTGATGCTGTTTCTCTCATAAGGCCTGGGATGACTCCCTGGGTTATCAAACGGCCAAGACAGCAGCCACTACCCTCCTGGCTGTGGTCCTGGCAAAGTCCCTACTTGCGGGGCCCTGGGGGAGCTGGGCTTCCTGTCACAACCTGCAGAGCCCTCGACCAGCTCTGGGCTTTGTCTGGTAGGTGACAAGGGACTGGCCAGTGACCTCTCACAGGGGGGTTTGGTCCCAGACTTGGGTTTCCATCACCTCGGAAGTTTGCTTGGAGAATGAAGGGTGGTGGTGGGCGGGGAGGGCAGGGCAGACAGGAGCAAGGAGTCATCCTGTTTCATTGATGCACCTGCCACTGTGTCTGGTTGTCTTTGGAGACCTTGCCACAGGCAGAAGTCAGTAGGCTGGGTTCTCCAGTGGACCAGGTAGAGGCTTTGCAGGTGGGATGATAGTGTGCTGGGTCAGGAATGGGACTGACTAGCTGTTAGTCATTTGTTCATTCATTCATTCCGGGACGATTTTTCCAGCACTGTGTCTGGGTACAGGGCTGCCATGGTGGCCCTGACAGGTGAGATGAATGCTGGGGACCCACTCAGTTCCTGGTGAGGTCTTCAATGAAGCCTGGGCAGTATGAGTCCTGGGCATCCACACTGATGCTGGCTCCTTTCTCTCGGCCTTAGGACCCCCGGAGCAAACACAAGTTCAAGATCCACACGTACTCCAGCCCCACGTTCTGTGACCACTGTGGATCCCTGCTGTACGGGCTCATCCACCAGGGGATGAAATGCGACAGTAAGTACCTGTGCCTGCCGCTGAAGCCACGCACAGGGCAGTGACTGCGTGGTGTAGCGTCCACATTGGCAGCAATTTCTCCCGGGCCCTGGGTGGGGCTGGGGTGCTTTGTCACTGCCTAATGACCTGCTCACCCCATAACATAAAACCTTGCAACAGTAGCCATCCTTCAGCTCAGGACTCTTCAACAAGGCCATCCCTGGGGGCTGGGCTGGGGTTACTTGTATGGACTTGATGGGTTAACAAGCGGGCTGGGGGCTGTCTGGGCCTGGTGGTCTCCCCCACCCTGTGTCCTGAAGGTCAGCCTGTGGTCATCTGCATGGGAATGACAGGGCCACTTGGGCTTCATCAGAGGTGGGCCAGCCTGGGCTTGCTTCCACGGCACACACCAGGTCCCAAGAGCTTCCAAAGGGCACGCCTCTGCTTCCCTGTGGCACCCACCGTCTGTGCTGTCCAGGCTGGGGTGGGGGGAGGCAGGTGGAGTGCAGGACTCCTGTTTATTCCTTAAGCAGCGTCTGGGGCGGGGAGTGAGCAGGCTCTGAGAGCTGCAGCAGCAGCAGAGGCACAGGGAGAGGCTCCACGCTCTGGTGGCTCCCAGGGACCTGTGGCCAGTCCTGAGGCCAGTCCTGAGGCCAGAGGGAGAACTCACGGGGGCAGGGAGTGAGAGAGACAGAAGCACAGACAGGCACGGGACAGATGGACACACACAACGCAGGTGCAGGGAGGGCGATGGGGCGTGAGAGCTCTAGAGTCAGCTAGAGAGAGACTCTGGCCGATGGATAGCCGGAACAGACAGCAGAGAGACGCACTCACACAGGCTCGTGCAGCCATAGAGACCTGAGACAGAGGGAAGGAGAGAGACACGGGGAGAGACGGGGAGAGGCAGAGACCAGTCCGTTAGGGCTGGGGGCAGAGGAGGAGAAGCCCTTCTGATGAGCCCAGGGCAGTGCGAGGTGGCCCGGGCTCCTGGAGGGGGTGGGGTGGGGCAGGACGGGAAGTGCCCAGCTGGCTCTGGTGGGCAGCCGTCCGCGGCCCCGCGCCTGAGCCGAGCCTCCGTCTGCCCCACAGCCTGCATGATGAACGTGCACAAGCGCTGTGTGATGAACGTCCCAAGTCTGTGCGGCACCGACCACACCGAGCGCCGCGGCCGCATCTACATCCAGGCCCACATCGACCGCGAGGTCCTCATCGTCGTCGGTAGGTGGCGCTGGGGCTCAGGGGAGGGAGGCGCGGGCAGGGGCAGGGACGGGGCCGGGACGGGGGGCCTGATGCTGCCTTTGCGCCCCCCCCACCCACAACCCATCGCAGCCCCTCCCTGCACAACCTGAGCGCGTGTGTCTCCAGGCTCTGTGTCCGCTGCTCGGCCTGGCCCGAGCTCAGACAGGGGCCGCCCAGCTTTGTAGTTTACAAAGCTGATGCAGAATGAGTGTCTGGGTTGGGGAGGTCCGCTGTGATGCTTTGCCACACATGTGCACTGCTCAGTGATCAGATCAAGTTCAAGTTCAAAGGCGTGTGGGCTCCCATCCCTCCTCCTCCTCCCTTTCCCAGCCTACCCTCCGAGCGTCCGTTGTGCTGTGCAATTCCGTTTCCCTTAATCAGACAGCAGAGGAGCAAAGCTTGCTCTTTGCCAGACTCTTGCTGTGGGAAACATAGGGTCTGGATGCTGAACACTGAGTTTATTATGTCCGACTGACCGGGAGGGAGAGAGTGCAATCCAGGGAGTACCCCTGGCTGCCCGTGTATCTGAAATATTTCTTTATTTAATCTGATGGTGGCCGTCCTGGCCCCTGCCACGTTATTCTCTGTATGTTTTTGTTCGTCTGCAGTATTTCCCAATAATAAGAAACAGGGACCGTGCAGGTTGCTGGGGAGCTGCAGTGATGTGGTGGTGGTGGTGGGGGAGAAGGGTGAGGCCTGTCACTCTTGAATGGGGCGTTCGAGTCGCTTGTGGCGTGACACATGACGTGCAGGCGAAGTCGGGGTTCAGCTGTGCTGGGCTGGCACACGCTCAGCCAGAGGTCTCGGTAAACCCAGCTCTGAACTGGACATGAACAGAACTCAGACGAAGGGATTCTGTCTCAAGGCTGCGACACTGCAGATGCTACAGAACACGTGCACGTGGACGAGGTTTGATGAATTGGCAGCTTAGGAAATGGGTCGTGGAAGAGATGGGTTTTGCAAAAACTGGCCCATATCCGGGCCCCAGAGTGGTTCTGCAGCTTTACCTAAATCGTATAAGAGTCGGAAAATAGCCCTGTCAAAAAGGATTTCTCTTTGGAATCCTGAGGTTGGGAAAACCCGGTGCATTTTGTTGCATTGCTTTTTCCTCCGAGAGGATGGAAAGCAGCTGGCTGCCTCCCACGGGGATGCTTGGGGGTCCCTGGGGAGAACCTGGCAGTCACAGGGCAAGAACAGTGGGATTTTCCCCACCGACTCAGCTCCCAGAGGCCAGAGGGACAACAGTGGGACTCTGCTGCCCTCTAGTGCCAGCCTCTAGGAACTACATGGCAGCCGCCAAACTTGTGTCACAGTGCCCAGTCTTACATGTTCTCGGCCCACCTTGCCAACACCAGTCTTCCTCATGCATGAGTGAAGAGCGTGAAAGAAGTTACCCTACTTAAAGCTCACACCATTAGTAATGATAAGAAATCAATAACTAACATTCATCGTGTTTTTATCTTTTTTTAGAAAAGATGTATTCATTTATTTGAAAGGCAGAGTTATAGAGAGGAAGAGAGGGAGCAGGAGAGAGAGAGAAAGAGAGAGAGAGACGTAGACAGAGAGACACACACACACACACACACACACACAGACATAGACAGAGAGACAGAGAGACAGAGAGACAGAGAGAAATCTTCCATCTGCAGGTTCACTCCCCAAATGGATACAATGGCCAGGGATGGGTCAGGTCAAAGATAGGAGCCTGGAATATTCCATCTGGCTCTTCCATGGGGGTGGTGGTAGCCCAAACACTTGGGCCATCTTCTGCTGCTTTCCCAGGCACATTAGCAGGGAGATGGATCAGAAGTGGAGCAGTCTGAACCCGAACCGTGCCCATATGGGATGCTCTGTCTCTCAGGCAGTGGCTTAACCTGCTGTGCCCACAACACCAGCCCATCATCATGTTTTTAATGTGTCAGTCATCATGCAGAACACTTACAAGCAGTGTCTTGTTAAAATTTCTTTTGCAACTCTAATGGGATACATATTATTCTTTTATTTATTTATTTATTTTTTTGACAGGCAGAGTGGACAGTGAGAGAGAGAGACAGAGAGAAAGGTCTTCTTTCCATTGGTTCACCCCCTAAATGGCTGCTACGGCCGGTGCACTGCGCCTATCCGAAGCCAGGAGACAGGTGCTTCCTCCTGGTCTCCCCATGCGGGTGCAGGGCCCAAGCACTTGGGCCATCCTCCACTGCCTTCCCAGGCCACAGCAGAGAGCTGGACTGGAAGAGGAGCAACCAGAACAGAATCCGGTGCCCCAACAGGGACTAGAACCCGGGGTGCCAGCGCCACAGGTGGAGGATTAGCCTAGTGAGCCGCGATGCCAGCCTGGGATACATATTATTCTATGTATCAGGAAACAGGAGTAGGGAGCCACACACTGCCTCTCCTGGGCCTTTTTTCTCCCCTAAGCGCTATGCTAGGGGACTCCCAAAAGTTCATGGAAGGATGGTGCAGAAACTCATTGAAACCCATGCTGTTTTCTTCCTGACGTGCACTCCCGGGAGCTTTTAGAAGTACCCTTGGTTGAGGTTACTTTTTAGTGTGCTTACCCTCCTCCCAACCCTTCTACCTTACTTTTCCTCTCAGGTATGGGGGGGGGGCGTTTCCTGGAGTCTTTGTTCTGATCTGATGCACTATAACCTCCCTTCAAGGCCAAGGTCAGAGATATGCCAAGATATACCCTGGCTTGTGAGAGCCTTGGTCACAAACCAGGGATTCCTAAGCAATCCCGAGACACTCCTGGGACTGAGGGGCTGTGTTTGTTTCCTAGGGGTTGCCACGAACAAGGGCCACACACGTGGGTGGTTTCCCCGTGTTCTGGAGACCCAAGGTGGGGAATCACAGGTCAGCAGGTTGGGTGGGGCTGTCACGTTGGGGCAGAGAGGAGACTCAGAGCTTGTCTGGGTCTCCCCCGAGCGTGGATACAGCAAGAGGACAGTCATCTGCAAGCCAGGAGAGGGGTCCTCACTGGGCACCTGCGACAAATGAAATCTGTGGATGAAGCCGGGCAGGGAGTGGTGTTTCGCTACAGCAGCTGGAGCTGACTTTGCTGTGAACTGCTGGGGTTGGCCACTGGGGATTAGGTGGCTTTCCTGCAGCTGAGGACAAGTGTCTGGACCAACAGCAGCACTCGCGGCCGCCAGCGATGGGAGCCTTGGCCGTGGCCTGCAGGGGAGCTGAGCCGGAAGTCGGAAATCCCGAGCGTCCGTGACACCCGGGTATCTCTCTGACCTCTGATCTGCCCGGAGGTCAATGCTGGGCTTCCAGGCCCCTCCTCCTTGACCTTGAAGAGACAAATTCCGGAGGAGAGAGCTCCAGGTGGCGCGGGGTCCTTCTTCCCAGCAGCCCACTTGCCACTTGTTCCCCCCGGGCTGCTGGAAACCAAGTTCATTTCTGCCGACAGGGCTCCTGTGGGTCAAGATCAGGATGGAAACCTGACCAGTTCTTTAGAAAAAACAAATAGACGAGGCCATGGGGCACAGCAGGTTGAGCCTTCACGTGGGATGCCGGCATCCCGTATCAGAGTGCCTGGTTCGGATCCCAGCTCTACCACTTCTGCCCCAGCCTCCTGCTAATGCACTCCAGGGAGGCAGCAAGCCATAGCCAAGGTACTTGGGTCCCTGACTCCCACACGAGGGATTGGGCTCCTGGCCTCTGACTGTAGCCTGGCCCAGCCCTGGCTGTTTTAAGCATTTGGGGAGTGAACCAGCAGATGGAAGATCTCTCTCTCTCCTCTAACAAATAAAATATAAATAACAAAAATATTACAATGAATGAAATATAAATAATAAATAAGACTTTTGCAAAGTCGTTGGTTTCCCCTTGTCTTTTAGGCTAGAATGAGGTCCCCTTCAGGCTTCCTCCCCAGCTTGCACCTGTGGGCTCAGTATCCTCTGCAGGAAACCTTGTCTTCCCCCAGAGAAGAACTGGTCCTCTAGTGCTTAGCTCATTTCCACCATTAGGGGGCGCTTTCTCTGTCCTCCCCCTGCTGCACACGCTCATGGGGAGACCCTGAACTTGAACTTCAGGTTTTGTGTCGGACTTGATCAGCGTCTGCCTCTCCTACGAGACACCGACTGCGAGCGGACAGGGCTGTGTCTGCCTCCCATCACCACTCTGTCCCCAGCACCGGGTGATGGAACCCCATGGAATACCTGTGGAATCAGTGGCTGTGCAGGAGCGCGAGGATCCTGCTGGATCCGAGGCCCTCATGGGTGGTCCCCAAGCCAGGGTCCCCAGCGGAAGGTCAGCCGAGGAGAACCAAGGTCACTCAGTTCACACAGCATTCTTTTTTTTTTTTTTTTTTTTTTTTTTTTTTTTTTTTTTTTGGACAGGCAGAGTGGATAGTGAGAGAGAGAGACAGAGAGAAAGGTCTTCCTTTGCCGTTGGTTCACCCTCCAATGGCCGCCACGGCTGGCGCGCTGCAGTCGGCACACCACGCTGATCCGAAGGCGGGAGCCAGGTGCTTCTCCTGATCTCCCATGGGGTGCAGGGCCCAAGCACTTGGGCCATCCTCCACTGCCTTCCCTGGCCACAGCAGAGAGCTGTCCTGGAAGAGGGGCAACCGGGACTAGAACCTGGTGTGCCGGCGCCGCTAGGTGGAGGATTAGCCTATTGAGCCATGACGCCAGCACAGCATTCTTGCAGGAAGCAGAATGCAGTCACCAGCAAGTGTGGCCGGGCCTGGGACCCACCCTGTGCAGCCGTGACCAGCCCTGCTCCCCAGGCAATGGAGAAGGGACACAGAGCAGTGGGCCTTGTAGCATCACGAGCTGCTGTGTGGGCATCACGATGCTTTGATGTGGGACGTGGGCATCTCCACAGGTGGCTTATCCCAGGCCTGAATGCCAGCTCCAGGCAGCCCAGTGCTGCCAGTCTCCCCTGCATCTCTGTCACCTCCGAATCCGTCACCATTTCCCTTTCTGCGTCTGTGATTGTATTCCCCCAAAGCTGGCCTGTTCTTAAAAAAA